GCAGAGTCAGGCACACAAAAAGGGTTGCCTGGGCCAGGCTGGTCAACCTGCCTTGGATAAGTATTTTGTTTTATTTGACTTTTTTATTTGAGCCAGGCTAATCATGCGGCCAGTAAAAGGCCAGGCCAGCAGGCTACCATGCATTCTTTCAGGGCACCATCCAGACAACTATCAGGCAAGTTTCAGGGACGTGCCAGGCCAGGGGTCACTAGATGTGGAAGCAAACTAAACTGGCCCTAAGTCCGTACCTCTCCTTGTAGTGGATGGAACACTCTTCGATATGGGGTCATGTTGTTTCCCCATGCTGGATAATAAATGCAGCATACAGTAACTCTACAAGTGAACTTATAAACAGAGTTATGTTTCCCCGCAACGGAGCTAGAAAATAGTCTTGATAACCCACAAGTCTAGGGTATCGCAACAGCCTTCGAGGAAAGTATCACAACCCAAATTTATTGATTTTGACACAAGGGGAGTCAAAGAATATTTATAATCTTTAGCCGTTGAGTTGTCAATTCAACCACTGCTAAAATAAGTTATTGCATGACATAATTTATTAGTAGCAAAAGCGATGAAGTGAACAAAGTTGTGATTGCAGGATAGTAACAAAAGCAGTGGTTCCTAGCAATTGCCAAGAATAAAAGTAACACACATGCAGTATCTCTCCCTCTACGAATAGATTGACCCGGCAAAAAAACTATGAATAGAGCGGGACCCCACATGGAGTATCTCTCCCTCTTATTCTTTCCCCAAATCAACTACCATAGAGTAGGGCCCCACATGTAAATGGTAAAACAATATGTGATCATTTCAGCTTCTGAATCCCTTGTTGACTAGAAAATGTTTCAGATTAATGTTCAAATCTCATTTGGCTTATCCCGACTGACAAAATGTTTTATGGAGTTCAGTGATATGATGGGATTTCTTGGGGTCCAAAGGTAGCAAAACGCTCCTAATTGGCTACCTTGGCCGCAATATAGTTGACCAGTTTTGCCACATTGAATGAAATCTAGCGGTAGTGGTGGTTATTCATACTCTGAAACCATAGGGTGGGAATGAAAAATCAAGCATACAAGAAAGACAGGCGGCAGATGCCACTTTGTGTTTTTTAGGGAACACTTTATTCGGTTTGAGTTAAATCAGATTGACACGATACATGCAAGGAGCTTATTCATGAGGATTACATGTAGGAGCACGACTGAGAGTTGCTTCACTTCACAGAGCCTTAACCAAAATGATCGTGTATGGTGAAACTATAGACGTTTGCAGCAACACTGGCCAATGTTGTTGCAATAGAAGGTATGGGTACCAAGGTGCTTTTTGTTGCATAAGTCCATGCAATCAGGTACAGAGCATCCTTGTTGTAGATCCTCGCATGTTGGCTCCCCAACTGTAGATGCAAATCCATTGTAGCATTAGGAATTCAATCAAAATATATTTCTAGTAGGTTAACCATTTTGGATACTGATTGATGCATGTATATACTTACCTCTTGCATGGCAGGATGGGAATGTAGAAGCAAACATCATAATAAGGACCAGGAAAAAAATGAACATGCTCCTCCTCGTGTTCCTCAGGTTGATGGGTGCCATGAGGAGAAGAGGCCGGTAATTTGTGTATTTCTTTCCTTCTTGTGTTGTTCTGGTGTGCTACTTTGCAGCCAAGAGCTCCTTTCGTTCGTTGGTTTTCTATAGAGGCATGATGTGTTGCTCATATGGTACCTTGAATATAGTATTATCTACACTATTTCTCAATCAATCCAAAAAAGTTATTTCTCAATCAAGACACAATCATGTCTTTATTTTTATATTTATTAAGAGACTATTCTTAGTTAGTCATATCTTTATATATTATATTTATTCAGAGACTATTTCTCAGCCAATTTCGAAACCGTTACTTCTCAAATCAAGGCACTGCATATCTTTATTTGTATTTACTGAGAGACTATTTCTTAGTCTATTTGGAAGTAGTTATTTTCATTCGAGGTACAGTCATATGTTTATATAGTGCCACTAAAACCTCCGCAATTAGTAAAAGCTGAAAATATTAGGCCAGAGAAGATAAACTAAAACAAAAAAGAATCCCTATCACATAAAAATAGCTAAGCGCGCGCACACACACACACACGCACACTCACTACCTTTTTCATCTCAGTAAATATAGTGCAAGCACAAAACTTTGCTAACATCCATAGAATGCATAGGAAGGGACCGGCTAAGAAAAAAAAGAAATAAAACAAAAACAAAATCAAAATAATGAAGTTGTCTAAAGAATATGAACTAGTAGCATTGGTATTACCCATTAATAAGAAATAAGTTGTAAAAAATCAAACATGAAATTTTTGCACATAATAGACACGGAAATTGCGCTTTTCAATAATATGCAAGAATAAGCATATGATAGTGGAATTTTCACAAAAAAAGATTTCATAAGAAGGAATAAATTAGTGGCACTGGTATTACCATTAAAAAAAGAAAACTAGAATAATAACAAAACCATAATTAAAATAATGAAGTTTTATATGGAAAAATGAATTAATGGTATTGGTATTGCCCATTAAGAAGAAACCAAATGAAATAAAACAAAATAAAAATAATAAGGTCTCCTAAGGAAAAATGAATTTGCAGCATTGGTATTACCCTTTATTAAGAAAGAAAATGAAGACAATATGTAAAAAGAATGTTTGGGAAAATTTGCACAAGATATACGCAAAATGGCACTTTTCAAAAATATGCAAGAGTAAGCATATAATAGTGAATTTTTTGCAAAAAAAAAGTGTACTAAGAAGAAATGAATTAATGGCATTGATATCACCCTTAAAGAAGAAAAATAACAATTGAATCAAAATCAAAATATTGAATTTTTATACGGAACAATGTATTAGTGCAATTTGTATAAGAATAAAGATAATAAAAAAAACCTGCACACAACTTTGCACTAAAATTCCGCTTCTGTAGTATGCAAACAACAATCAAATAAAAATGTAGTTTTCTCATATATTATATAGTATTTGTGTGTATACATTTGCCGTCATCCAACCTCCCAGAAATACCTAAAAAAGAAAAATACCAACTAATAAAGAAAACAAATAACAAAAGGAGAATGCATAAAACAGAAAAACAGAAGAAACAAACAAAGCTAAAGAGGGATGGGTTGGGCAGTACATGTAATGGGCTTCAGCCCAGTAGCAAAAAGACTGGCCCAAATATTTGGTCAGTCAAAATAAAAACAACCCAAGCCAGCTCACAAAACAGTCCCAAAAAAACGCAGCGCACATCCCAGAACAAGAATCAACGACCAAAAAATCGACTGACCCAAATTTAAAATTCAGGCGACTTACATATAGCTAAAGTGGCATAGGAAATGTATGCCCCAATAGAAAATTTGATCTCCAAATCCCCACTCTCAGCGAGTTCCTTTTTCGTCGAATTTACGAATCCCGTATGCTTGAAGACGCTTAATTCAAAAGTTCTGAACTTGCGAAATATCATGTAGTTCTAAAAAATAAAAAGCATATGCATGCTTATTCAAAGAAGTAAAAAAGGAACCATATGATTCTTCCTGGAAAAAAATCATGTGCTCTGAGGAGAACAAGTGAGTTTTAGCATCACAGACGGAGGCAAATGAGCATGTTGATCGGTGCGGGTTACGGGTGAGGGGTTCGTCGCCGTTGCTGGAATTCCATGGTGGGGATGGCGGGGCAGCGAAGAGGTCACGGGAGTGCCACCAACCGCGGGGGTGAAGGCCGGTGATTAGTGCTAGGTTGGAGGGCGACGTTGGAAGGAAGAAGATGAATCGGTTGGTGGCTGTTCGATATTGATTTGACGGTAAAAAAATGCAGGTACATGATGAACGGGTGTTCCCAAAGTTTTTTTTCTCCAAATTTGGCTGAGTGTTGGATGTAGATTCAAAGATTCCAGGAGTTGTAAAGTATTAAAATTAAGTAGGCGATGTTGCAAGGTGACGTGAGAAGATAATTTTGGGCATGGTTTTTATCACTCCAGCATTTCTAAGAATAAAGAGTGCCATTTTTTTTGTTCTTCTTCATTTCATTCATTGCGATTACCGGAATAATTTCCGGCAGGGGAAACCAAGTCGAGTCGGCCTTGATCAGCCGGCTGGTTCATACTCCCTCCGTTCCTAAATACTCCCTACATTCCCTTATACAAGGCCACATAGTCCCTCCGTTCCTAAATACTCCCTCCATTCCCTTATACAAGGCCACAAACTCATATTATAGGTATCAAAGTAAAAGTTATTGACTGTTTTACAAACCAGCTTTTATTTTTGTTAACCGGGATCATTAATACGTCACATGCATGCAAGGAAGAAGTGTGAAGGAAGTAGCTGAGTGTTATTATGACTACATGCATGCAAGTATTAAACAGGTTGGTAGTGCAAGGAAACATCATTAATTTTGGCCTCTAATTACTGTTGGTGGTCTTATATAGATGCAAAATGTATTTTTCATAGTGGTCTTGTATAAGGGAATGGAGCGAGTATAAGTCTTTTTAGATATTTCAATATATCTGTATGTAGTTCATATTGAAATATTTAAAAAGACCTTATATTTAAGAACCGAGGAAGTATTAATTATGTGCCAACATTTCTGCTGTGGTTATGGGCACGTTCTGGCACGCCAAGATCTCAGAGAGACATGCATCCAAGCTAGCAGCATGATGTGATGGTGTGACATGCCAGCCCAGCAATGTACGTATATGCCAGCCCGCAAAGGCTGGCTCACAGCACAACCCGAATTGAATCGCAAAAAAGTGTCCCAATTCAAAAGCCCAAGGGTACAACCAAACCAACCAACCAATGTACGTGTATAAATATGCCTGAAGCCACACTTTTTTTTTCACGTAGCATGCCTTACTATGATGGTAGTGCCACTAAATTTACAGTACTGACGGACGGTGAAGACAAATGTTCCACGCACGATGTGATGTCGTTGTCGTCGCCATGGATGGATGATGCGGAGAAGGTGGATGGAGGTTGAGTCAGTCGTCTCCGATGTGGAAGCTCAGCCGCGAGTGGCTCCGCTTGATCCTCCCGGCGGCGGCGGCAGTGACCGGCTGGTCGGAAGTAGCAGCAGCAGCAGCATCTGGATCGTACTTCTGCATCCATCCATGGCGATGAGCACAGCACGTTAATTGATCAGGCAGAAGAAAATCTAATAGCATCAGATGCAGTATTAAACTGCATCATGACTCATGATGATGGGCATCAGATCACAGCATGTGTGTACACTAGTAGTATATGGTGACTGATTTGGTGTATGTATGTATGTATATGAATGAGTGTGTGTATGCAGGAGAGGAGAGAAGCAGGACGTACAGTGGAGACCTCGATGAGCTTGTGCATGTTGTGGTGGCTGCCTCTGAACTGCCCGATCTTGGCCTTGCGCTCCGCCACCAGCGCCCTCAGCCGCTGCTCGTCCCGCGCCTCGACTGCCATATGCAGAATTTCATCAGAAAAGAACTACTTATTCCAATCCATATTCCTTGTCGCTCAAACGGGTGTTTCTAGCACACATCTGATACACCATCGGAGATGCTTGTGATCTTAATTTCTTTACGGTGCTTGATTGATACTGTATGAACTTACACATTTTGTGCAGCCTGGCGAACGCGGCCAAGACGACGGCGGCCGAGGCGGGCACGGCGAGCAGAGGAGGCGCAAACAGGAGCAGCAGCTTCCTGCTCCACCCGGCCACGCTCCGCCGCCTCGCCGTCCAGTAAGCATGCACCAACGCCACCGCCTATCAAATGTTCAGCAGACCGTCAGCGTCAGGCCAGCATGCAACTGCCTAAACCTGCTCAATCATGCTCAGAAGAATGGATCCATCAAAGCTAGCTAAGTATATATGTTCTTCTTGCTGCCTGGATTTATTTACAGGAGCCGATCGGCCATTGAGATCGATCGCCGGCTGATGGGAGCAACGGATGGATGAACAAGTTAGCAGATGAAGAAGGTGACGGGCGCGCGGACCTCGATGGCGAGGGAGGCTAGGGCGATGCCGCGCCGGACGCCGCGGGCGCCCGCGTGGCGCCTGCTAATGCGGGCACGGACGGCGGCCTCCTCGTCGGCTACGGCCCGCAGCCGGCGCTCCACCGCGGCCGGGTCCCCCGCGGGGTCGCCGAGCTTCCACCACACGCCCGAGAAGCTGCCCGCGCGGGCCAGCCGCTTCGCCGTCGGAGCCTCCGCATCCGCCATCGGTCCAGCTCGCCTCACGAGGGTCTGTTGATCAGGCGTCAACTAGTTAAAGCTGGTGTTTTTTATACTCCTACTTCATAACTGGAACGGAATGGAGTTGTGCGCCCATGTCAACAAAGTCCACCGACCACTGCAGCAAAATAAATAGATGTCTCAACTTCTTTTACGCAAGCGCTCTCATATATACACGCATACACCCCAACATATAAACATCCAAATCAAACGAGTACAATTTTTCAAGATTTTCTTTAGAAAAGAGATGCAAATATAGATGGCAGCAAACACCGCAACATTATAAACATCCAAATCAAACGTGATTTAGCAAGTCAAAGAATTCGTGGCATTCACCAAGTACTGAAACAAAATCTAATAATATCAAAATCGAAATGAACAGAGTGTTTTGTCTGTCATGGCGTCCAAATCAGAAGATAGCCGAACAACAAAAGAGTGTTTTACATGAGCTGGTCAATCCGAGAAAGAATATATACACTTCCCATGTTCCCAAAGCAACAAAAGAAATCTCAAGTTACAGCACCAGAAATACAGCCAAACATCGCAACCAAATCCCCACACGCACCGAGACAAAGAGAGAGGGAGGTATCGATCCAGTCCAGAGCTCAGATAAGATCGGCGACGTTCATGGGCATCTCGTCGATCTGCGTGCTATAGTACTGCTCGATGTCCCGAAGGATACGGATGTCGTCCTTGCGCACAAAGTTGACCGCCACACCCTGCCGTCATGGCACACACAAAAAAATTCATGCAAATCAAGAGTAGGCAGCATTTGGGATGCAAAGAACAAACATTTAGTTGGGATTAGTCAATCCTTGCATATTCACTTTCCACAAGAGTTTTAAAACCAAAAAAGTGTTGAATCACCAAAATTACTTCAATTGTTTTCTTTACTGAGACAGCATTATATTTTTAATTGTTTTTAGCAACACAGAAACTATAACCAAAATTCTCTAGCCTAAACTAACAACTGGTGGGTACAAGAGAGGCAGCCACAAAAGAGGAATGACTAAGCTATGAAGCAGGAGTGTGAACTTTACCTTGCGCCCAAAACGCCCAGAGCGACCAATATGATGGATGTAAAGCTCACGGTTGTTCGCGAGATCGTAATTAATGACAAGAGAGACCTGAAACAAATCCAAACAGACTCAAGTGAGTAATCAAAGATGAGCATCATCATGCAACGGCGTGCTTAAAGGTAACCAAGAAGTGAAAGCAAACAAGACTTGTCTGCTGGACATCCAACCCTCGAGCCCAAACATCGGTTGTGATCAGAACACGGGTCGTGCCACCCTAAACTCACTCATGATCGCATCCCTTTCCTTCTGAGGCATGTCACCGTGCATAGCTGACACCATGAAGTTGTTGGTCCGCATCCTTTCAGTAAGCCAATCCACCTGGACAAAATAGAACTATCGCTTTAGCAAGCTGTGAACCATCAATTTTATAATACTTCTCAAGTCAAAGAAGCACATCGCTATAATTTAATAGCAAACAAAAAACATAGACAGACTTAAATTTTAGCACTGATCAGCACGGAACAGCATAGAAGGAACAACACGCAGATTCAGCAACAAAGTGATATGCATATGCAATGTCCATAAGGACAAACAAGAGATTGGTGTCGACAAATGCTAATTGGAGTAGAGCAGAGTACTTCAAATAACAGCAATTCACCAGGGGTAATCATATGAACAACGAGAATCATTCAACGGAGGTACACATTACGTTTCTCTTAGTGTTGCAGAAAATGACAGCTTGGGTGATGGTAAGTGTATCATAAAGATCACATAGTGTATCAAACTTCCATTCCTCTTTCTCAATAGCAACAAAGAATTGTTTGATGCCCTACAAACATGACGTGGAAAATGCAAGTGCCAAATAAGATAACATACAATAAAGCAAAACAAGTGGCAGTATTTCCCTGTAGGGTCAACTCATCATGTTTTACAAGGATCCTGACTGGATCAGTCATGAACTTGCTAGTTATCTCCAAGATGTCATGGGGCAGAGTTGCAGAGATCAAAACAACCTGCATGGTACAATAATAGACACATAGAAAAGTATGAGATCTCTGTCACGGAGTTCCAACTATTTCTAGTCATCAGACTCGGAGCTCATGTTAATATTAATGCAAAAGGGCTAATATTCCTATTACATTTCTCTGCTTGAGGGGTGTTACAAATGTTCAACTGATGTAGTGCTGAAGAATAATAGAAGGAAACACAAAACAGATGAGCGAGTTGTGCGTTAGGTGAAAGCGTCTTACCTCAACGAGAGGGGACGCGTTGCATGTTTATAGGCAGGGGCGCACCTCCTGGATAGCGCATACAGTTGGAGATTACAACTTGAGGGAGAATAAAGATATAGATAAGAATATATGGTTACATAGTTGAGTTATCTCATCTAACTACCTAACTATGCCGCACAAGTTTATATCCTCTCCTAGGCTGTCACGCTACACAACATATTGGGTTTAACACTCCCCCTTAATCACAACTTCATCAAGTTGAGATTATGCTTGAAATCTTCAAAGCTTTTGGTGGGTAATGCCTTAGTAAATCCATCTGCAACCTGATCCCTGGAATGCACAAACCGAATCTGAAGTAGCTTTTGAGCTACTCGCTCTCTCACAAAGTGGAAATCAATTTCAATGTGTTTTGTTCTGGCATGAAAAACTGGATTAGCAGATAAATAAGTGGCACCCAAGTTATCACACCAAAGGCAGGGAGCTTGAGCACTTTTAATACCTAGCTCCTTCAGAATAGATTGCACCCATATGATCTCAGCAGTAGCATTTGCCAATGCCTTATACTCAGCCTCAGTACTGGATTGAGAAACAGTAGCCTGCTTCCTTGCACACCATGAAATCAGATTAGGACCAAAGAACACTGCAAAGCCACCAGTAGACCTCATGTCATCTAGGCAACCTGCCCAATCCGAATCTGAGAAGGCACTGACTAGTGTGGATGATGACTTGCTGAAGTTAAGACCAATGCTAAGAGTGTTCTTGATGTTCTGACTATGCATTTAGTAGTTGTCCAGTGAACAGTGGTGGGTGCATGAAGAAACTGACAGACTTTGTTAACAGCAAAGGAAATATCAGGTCTTGTAAGTGTAAGATATTGAAGTGCACCTACGAGACTCCTGTATTTAGTGCTGTCTTCTTGACTCAAGGCTTGCCCTTCTGTGAGAGACAGTTTTTCTGAGCTGGATAATGGAGTAGGCGAGGGTTTACACCCTTGTAAGCCAACCTTTTTTACTAAATCCATAGCATACTTTTCCTGAGAGAGGTGAAGTCCATCCTCATGTTTCCTCACTTCTAACCCTAGGAAATAGTGCAAGTCTCCAAGACCCTTAAGAGCAAACTCTGTACTGAGATCCTTCAAAAGTCTTGTGATAGCTTCATCAGAGGAGCTTGTAACAATGGTATCATCAACGTAGATGAGAACAAATATACATGTGTTGCACTTGTTGAAGGAAATATGCCCTAGAGGCAATAATAAAGTTATTATTTATTTCCTTATATCATGATAAATGTTTATTATTCATGCTAGAATTGTATTAACAGGAAACATAATACATGTGTGAATACATAGACAAACAGTATGTCACTAGTATGCCTCTACTTGACTAGCTCATTGATCAGAGATGGTTAAGTTTCCTAACCATAGACAAAGTGTTGTCATTTGATTAATGAGATCACATCATTAGGAGAATGATGTGATTGACTTGACCCATTCCGTTAGCTTATCACACGATCGTTTAGTATTCTGCTATTGCTTTCTTCATGACTTATACATGTTCCTATGACTATGAGATTATGCAACTCTCGTTTACCGAAGGAACATTTTGTTCGTGCTAAATCTAGTTAGGCAGAGGAATCCTTGCTAATTTTGGCAAGTTTTTTTGCTTTCACATCCGAGTTAAAGAAAACTGGAATTGATCTTACAAGTGGCTCAAAACGTAAGACTGCCTGATTCCATTTTAAGGTTGTCACTAACCTGGTAGTTTTATTTGGTGATGCAGTTTGTAAGTTAAAATGATGCCCAGGGTTCAGTTTTCCTTGACATAGGTGCTCCTCTCATGCTATGTCTCTCTGTTGAATAGATAGGTTCGGTTTTCCTTTGTTCTATTTCTAGTTTAAGCATAAGCAGGTTCTAGTAAGTGTCTATGGATGTGGCTCATGAGTCGGAATATCTAATCTAATTAGGGACTGCAGACCTGCTGTGTCATCTGCAAACTAGCTTGCATTCATTTCAGAAATTTCTGAATTCTTTGATCTTTGCTTTCACTCAATGATTGTGGTAGTCAAATTAGATGCCTCCTCTGCTGCAATTCACTCGTCTCCCTGTCATGGTTTGTCTTGAATTTTGGTAGTGTGACAAACACATTAGTAAATTCTAGTTTTTGGGTGCTAATTCTAGTTACTTTATATGAAGCAAAAGTTATCTTGCAGCCATCTAATGTGCAATTCTAATAATATTTCATATCCTGTTTTTTAGTTGTATATGTCATTCGTGCATTAATTCCTTTTCTTATGTACCAGCTCCCTAATCATGTTTTTTTGTTTTTTGGGTTGCTATCTTCGGAGAGCGTCCTATATGGGGAAGCAAAGCAGCAGCATGCTGCTCCCTTGGAAGGTCGGCTCCTAGACCATTTGTGCTCTTCTTGATACTAGCTCTTTGTATTGTTGCTGCATTGATGCTGAGATTTAAGTGAGATGGATGCATTTTTCCTGTAATTTAGTTGTGACAGGCAAGACTTACTGTATGTGAGGCTTGTGAGCTCGCTTTAGTTTTCTTTCCTGTAATACTGTAAGCGAGATGGATGCATTTTTTGGTGCCTGTAGTGTTCTTTCATGTACTCATGTAGTACATGGAGTAGTTATGTTCTTTGCAGCATGATCAACATCTTACTCCTGTAGTTGTCTTACCCATAGTACTCCTGTAGGAGTAGCTGTATACTCCTGTAGTTTTTCCTACCTGTAGTGCAGAGAAGGAGTAGTTTGTCCTGCGTGTGTGATGTTCTTTCAAGCATCTTGGCTATGTACTCTAATTACTGCAGTATTCTGTAGATTTTTTCAATTAAAACTACTCCAGAGATGTTCTTTCCAGCATCGACATAATTCATTTTCTTTTGCTAATGGTTACTGCTGATGGTGCTGACTTTCCATGTATGCTCTCACAATCTAAACTAATTTATAGTTTTACTGAAACTGTAGTTTTGTAGTTTTACTATGTGTTCTTATAGTTTTACTGAAACTGTAGTTTGGTCCATCTGTACACAATCTTTGGGGTCCAGGCGTACGCCTCCATGCTTGCCGGCGGCGCCCTTTCCTTCAACCTCGTCTTCCCCTCTAGCGAGCCGGACATTTGGAGGCTCATGTGGATGTGGTGCATCTGGATGTTCAGTAAGTAAGACATGTGTTTTCCAGCAAATTAGTTCTTTGTTGAGGATGATTTTTGGTGCTTATCTCTTGATGAAGTGAATATGTGGTGCTTACTGTCGTTCAATTGCTAAGAAATTTGTTGCTACTGTTAGGAGCAAAGACATGTAAGAACTAGTATGTCGTAGGCCTAGGATCTGTTCTTGGTAGGCTTTGCAAATAGGAACATGTTGTATCTCGTATATCTTTTTTGTGTGTGAAGGATGTATCTTGTATGTCTTAGGCCTAGGATCAGTTCACTACAAATTTATAAATGATCATCAACCAGCAGAATGAGGATAGACAAGCAGCCTCAAGCTGATGTTGCAACAACTTGAAACGATATGTCTAAATTGTTGAGAATATGTTATTTGATTCAGTGCTGATGCACAAAAACCTTCTCTGCAATATATTAACTGGTCATATTCTACTTCTGTAGCTATAGCTTCTCTGTGAGCCCGTGACTGCTCAAACAGTATATTTGGCAATTCAATTTCACATTGCATGTGGATCATAAACTTATAGAGTATAAGCTTAGTTATTTGCATATATAAAATATGTTGACAAAGTGTTAAGTTGGATTACCGCCTCATGTTGATGGCCTTGTTTCTAAACATTTAATAATGTTTCTTTTTGGTGATCTATTGTCATTCAGGTTGCTGCTGCTATGATGGAAGATCAGAAGAGGCATGGAGATGCGCACCACAACTTTAGTTGATGTTGCACCATGTTTTGGTGCTTGTGTATCTGTTTTTGCTTGTAAGCACACTTGTATGTGCTTGTGTATCTGTTTTTGCTTATTTTAGTTGATGTTGGACGTGCAGACTTGTATGTGCTGTTGTGTGTATTTGCATGAATGATTTCTGAATTTAATCATTTAATTGAGAGAATTATTAAGTGTTTGCTGTTCAAATGTGTAAACTGGAAATCAGTGAATAAAAAGACCAAATGTTCTATTGGACCAAATAATATATGGGCTCTAAAAAGGCTACAACCCAAATAATAGTGGACTGGAACATTGTGCATTTCTGGAAAACCTGAACAAAAAGGCCTAATGAAATGGTTTGCAAAAGGGCCATGGCCCAGAAAATTAAAAGTCCGAATTGTAGGGCGTGGCCCATAAAGCCGACCAGAATTAACATGGAAAAAAACTAAATGAGCTGAATTGTTGGGCTCGGCCCATATAGACACCTAATCGGGCCGGGCTGAATCTTATTGTTTGACATGAAAATAGTAACAAACATCGATGGTTATAGTGTTATTATCTTTCTACGCGCCAGTGGAAATAAATATGCAGGCGTGCCAGTGTACTGAGTACACAAAGAAAACATAGGGAAACTTGTACTTTATTAATCTCTCGTGGGGGAAAACAAATTACATGATCCCTTTACATAAGCACTCAATGGCCTGCTAGCTCGGCCAATATGACTTCGGCTATTTTGAGGTTCTGGTTCACGGGGCCTCGGAAGGCTCCCGATTAATTACGTCCGCGAGCCGGAGCCACGGACCACCTCCGATTAAGCTGCTGCAATGGCCGTCGTCTTCAAGTCTCGTCTTCTCCAAGTGCTCGGTGTAGATGATGGTGATGATGTGGTGGAATAGAAGAGTGGAGCGGTACGTCCGTCGCTCCGGCGATGCTTAGTCACATCCATCTGGCTTGTCGATGTCCGATGATGAAGATGTCTGGCCTCGTCAGCTTAGACAGATGGTCGGCCTTCGCCTCGTCGGTGCCCGGCCTGGTGGTGTCCGCCTCGTCGGTGTCAGACACCGGGTGTCTTGCCTTCGCCTCGTCGGTGCCCGGCAAGATATGGATAGCATCATCGGAAGAAGACATGTCGGTGAAGTGGCTTCGCCTCGTCAGAGCTTGGACGGGGTTTGGGGAGTGTGTTGATGTAGAAGTCGGAGTAGATTCGGGTGTCGCCGTGTGGCGGCGTTGCTTGAAGATGACGACAATGCGAGCTCGTCAATGTAGACCTCAGACCGTCGTGCCTCGTCGGTCTTGGCAGCGTTGGAGTATTTGTTGTCAGCGTGGCATGGGTCGCGCTCGGCTTAGACTTCTCGGCGGCCGGTTACTTCATCGGGGTGTGCAAGGGGGTACACCTTGCGGGTGTAATGGTTTGGGGATACCGGTGTCAGTGTAAAAACTAACGCGCGCTCACATGGGTTGTTCGGTAACGCAGTAATTTCAAAAAATTTCCTACACACACGCAAGATCATGTGATGCATAGCAACGAGAGGGGAGAGTGTTGTCTACGTACCCACGCAGACCGACTGCGGAAGCGTTGACACAACGTAGAGGAAGTAGTCGTACGTCTTCATGATCCAACCGATCAAGCACCGAAACTACGGCGCCTCCGAGTTCGAGCACACGTTCAGCTCGATGACGATCCCCGGACTCCGATCCAGCAAAGTGTCGGGGAAGAGTTCCGTCGGCACGACGGCGTGGTGACGATCTTGATGCACTACAGCAGCAGGGCTTCGCCTAAACTCCGCTACAGTATTATCGAGGAGTATGGTTGCTGGGGGCACCGCACACGGCTAAGGAATAGATCACGTGGATCAACTTGTGTGTTTCTGGGGTGCCTCTGCCTCAGTATATAAAGGACTAGAGGGGGGGCTGGCCGGCCATAGGAGGCGGGCCAGGAGAGTCCTACTCCCTCTGGGAGTAGGATTCCCCCCTCAATCCTAGTTGGAATAGGATTCGCGGAGGGGGAAAAGAGAGAGGGGGGGCGGCCACCTCTCCTAGTCCTAATAGGACTAGGGGAGGGAGGGGGCGCGCAGCCCATCTTGGGCAGCCCCTTCTCTTTTCCACTAAGGCCCACTATGGCCCATATAGCTCCCGGGGGGGTTCCGGTAACCTCCCGGTACTCCGGTAAAATCCCGATTTCACCCGGAACACTTCCGATGTCCAAATATAGGCTTCCAATATATCAATCTTTATGTCTCGACCATTTCGAGACTCCTCGTCATGTCCGTGATCATATCCGGGACTCCGAACAACCTTCGGTACATCAAAATGCATAAACTCGTAATATAACTGTCATCGTAACCTTAAGCGTGCGGACCCTATGGGTTCGAGAACCATGTAGACATGACTGAGACACGTCTCCGGTCAATAACCAATAGCGGGACCTGGATGCCCATATTGGCTCCCACATATTCTACGAAGATCTTTATCGGTCAGACCGCATAACAACATACGTTGTTCCCTTTGTCATCGGTATGTTACTTGCCCGAGATTCGATCGTCGGTATCCAATACCTAGTTCAATCTCGTTACCGGCAAGTCTCTTTACTCGTTCTGTAATACATCATCCCGCAACTAACTCATTAGTTGCAATGCTTGCAAGGCTTATGTGATGTGCATTACCGAGAGGGCCCAGAGATACCTCTCCGACAATCGGAGTGACAAAACCTAATCTTGAAATACGCCAACCCAACATGTACCTTTGTAGACACCTGTAGTACTCCTTTATAATCACCCAGTTACGTTGTGACGTTTGGTAGTACCCAAAGTGTTCCTCCGGTAAACGGGAGTTGCATAATCTCATAGTTATAGGAACATGTATAAGTCATGAAGAAAGCAATAGCAACATACTAAACGATCGGGTGCTAAGCTAATGGAATGGGTCATGTCAATCAGATCATTCTCTTAATGATGTGATCCCGTTAATCAAATAACAACTCATTGTTCATGGTTAGGAAACATAACCATCTTTGATTAACGAGCTAGTCAAGTAGAGGCATACTAGTGACACTTTGTTTGTCTATGTATTCACACATGTATTATGTTTCCGGTTAATACAATTCTAGCATGAATAATAAACATTTATCATGATTAAGGAAATAAATAATAACTTTATTATTGCCTCTAGGGCATATTTCCTTCAGTCTCCCACTTGCACTAGAGTCAATAATCTAGATTACACTGTAATGATCCTATTACCCATGGAGTCTTGGTGCTGATCATGTTTTGCTCGTGGAAGAGGCTTAGTCAACGGGTCTGCAACATTCAGATCCGTATGTATCTTGCAAATCTCTATGTCTCCCACCTGGACTAGATCCCGAATGGAATTGAAGCGTCTCTTGATGTGCTTGGTTCTCTTGTGAAATCTGGATTTCTTTGCCAAGGCAATTGCACCAGTATTGTCACAAAAGATTTTCATTGGACCCGATGCACTAGGTATGACACCTAGATCGGATATGAACTCCTTCATCCAGACTCCTTCATTTGCTGCTTCCGAAGCAGCTATGTACTCCGCTTCACATGTAGATCCCGCTACGACGCTTTGTTTAGAACTGCACCAACTGACAGCTCCACCGTTTAATGTAAACACGTATCCGGTTTGCGATTTAGAATCGTCCGGATCAGTGTCAAAGCTTGCATCAACGTAACCGTTTACGATGAGCTCTTTGTCACCTCCATATACGAGAAACATATCCTTGGTCCTTTTCAGGTACTTCAGGATGTTCTTGACCGCTGTACAGTGATCCACTCCTGGATTACTTTGGTACCTCCCTGCTAAACTTATAGCAAGGCACACATCAGGTCTGGTACACAGCATTGCATACATGCTAGATCCTATGGATGAAGCATAGGGAACATCTTTCATTTTCTCTCTATCTTCTGCAGTGGTCGGGCTTTGAGTCTTACTCAATCTCACACCTTGTAACACAGGCAAGAACCCTTTCTTTGCTTGATCCATTTTGAACTTCTTCAAAATCTTGTCAAGGTATGTGCTTTGTGAAAGTCCAATTAAGCATCTTGATCTATCTCTATAGATCTTTATGCCTAATATGTAAGCAGCTTCACCGAGGTCTTTCATTGAAAAACTCTTATTCAAGTATCCCTTTATACTATCCAGAAATTCTATATTATTTCCAACCAGCAATATGTCATCCACATATAATATCAGAAATGCTACAGAGCTCCCACTCACTTTCTTGTAAATACAGGCTTCTCCGAAAGTCTGTATAAAACCAAATGCTTTGATTACAGTATCAAAGCGTTTATTCCAACTCCGAGAGGCTTGCACCAGTCCATAAATGCATCACTGGAGCTTGCACACTTTGTTAGCTCCCTTTGGATCGACAAAACCTTCCGGTTGCATCATATACAACTCTTCTTCCAGAAATTCATTCAGGAATGCAGTTTTGACATCCGTCTGCCAAATTTCATAATCATAAAATGTGGCAATTGCTAACATGATTCGGACAGACTTAAGCATCGCTACGGGTGAGAAGGTCTCATCGTAGTCAACTCCTTGAACTTGTCGAAAACCTTTTGCGACAAGTCGAGCTTTGTAGACAGTAATATTACCGTCAGCGTCAGTCTTCTTCTTGAAGATCCATTTATTCTCAATTGCTTGCCGATCAACAGGCAAGTCAACCAAAGTCCATACTTTGTTCTCATACATGGATCCCATCTCAGATTTCATGGCTTCAAGCCATTTTGCGGAATCTGGGCTCACCGTCGCTTCTTCATAGTTCGTAGGTTCATCATGATCTAGTAGCATGACTTCCAGAACAGGATTACCGTACCACTCTGGTGCGGATCTCACTCTGGTTGATCTACGAGGTTCAGTAGTATCTTAATCTAAAGTTTCATGATCATCATCATTAGCTTCCTCACTAATTGGTGTAGGTGTCACTGAAACAGTTTTCTGTGATGTACTACTTTCCAATAAGGGAGCAGGTACAGTTACCTCGTCAAGTTCTACTTTCCTCCCACTCACTTCTTTCGAGAGAAACTCCTTCTCTAGAAAGGATCCATTCTTAGCAACGAATGTCTTGCCTTCGGGTCTGTGATAGAAGGTGTACCCAACAGTCTCCTTTGGGTATCCTATGAAGACACGTTTCTCCGATTTGGGTTCGAGCTTATCAGGTTGAAGCTTTTTCACATAAGCATCGCAACCCCAAACTTTAAGAAACGACAACTTTGGTTTCTTGCTAAACCATAGTTCATAAGGCGTCGTCTCAACGGATTTTGATGGTGCCCTATTTAACGTGAATGCGGCCGTCTCTAGAGCATATCCCCAAAACGATAGTGGTAAATCAGTAAGAGACATCATAGATCGCACCATATCTAGTAAAGTACGATTACGACGTTCGGACACACCATTACGCTGTGGTGTTCCGGGTGGCGTGAGTTGCGAAACTATTCCACAATTTTTCAAATGTACACCAAACTCGTAACTCAAATATTCTCCTCCACGATCAGATCGTAGAAACTTTATTTTCTTGTTACGATGATTTTCCACTTCACTCTGAAATTCTTTGAACTTTTCAAATGTTTCAGACTTATGTTTCATTAAGTAGATATATCCATATCTGCTTAAGTCATCTGTGAAGGTGAGAAAATAGCGATATCCGCCACGAGCCTCAATATTCATCGGACCACATACATCGGTATGTATGATTTCCAACAAATCTGTTGCTCTCTCCATAGTACCGGAGAACGATGTTTTAGTCATCTTGCCCATGAGGCAAGGTTCGCAAGTACCAAGTGATTCATAATCAAGTGGTTCCAAAAGTCCATCAGTATGGAGTTTCTTCATGCGCTTTACACCGATATGACCTAAACGACAGTGCCACAAATAAGTTGCATTTTCATTATCAACTCTGCATCTTTTGGCTTCAACATTATGAATATGTGTATTACTACTGTCGAGATTCATCAAAAATAGACCACTCTTCAAAGGTGCATGACCATAAAAGATATTACTCATATAAATAGAACAACCATTATTCTCTGATTTAAATGAATAACCGTCTCGCATCAAACAAGATCCAGATATAATGTCATGCTCAACGCTGGCACTAAATAACAATTATTTAGGTCTAATATTAATCCCGAAGGTAGATGTAGAGGTAGCGTGCCGACCACGATCACATCGACTTTGGAACCGTTTCCCACGCGCATCGTCACCTCGTCCTTTGCCAGTGTTCGCTTATTCCGTAGTCCCTATTTTGAGTTGCAAATATTAGCAACAGAACCAGTATCAAATACCCAGGTGCTACTGCGAGCTCTAGTAAGGTACACATCAATAACATGTATATCACATATACCTTTGTTCACCTTGCCATCCTTCTTATCCGCCAAATACTTGGGGTAGTTCCGCTTCTAGTGACCAGTCTGCTTGCAGTAGA